TCATAGTGAATTCATTGTGATTTTACTTCACTTACATCAAATCACATTATATTTTAAGCACAATTTTCATTTTTCTTTTTATATATGTTAATTGCATAATAAGAGATAATCCTTTCTTATTCTTTTTTCTATTCCACCCACATATAATGTGATTTGAAATCAAAATCTCTTATTTTTAGTAAAAAAAGATTATTATTGAATTATTTAGATAATTGACAAGCACAATTTCCTTATATATCAGTTATATAAATTTAAGATGTCACTCATGAATAATCATATAGAATTCCTTCCCTCGTCTTTTGAAACTTTAGGGTTTCTGGTGGCAATGGGATTTCTCCTTTGAGTCCCTCTCCGATTTGGGGAGCCACCTTTCCTTCCCTTCCCTTTCCTATCGCATATCCTTGTTTCCTCTTCCTTCAATTTCCCTTTGGCTTTGTTTGCAATACTCTAAAACAGGGGCACGACCTTGGACACCAAGGGCTACAAATTTGGTCTTGGGTGTCGATTTAATCTCCTTGCTGCTGGTGATTGTAGGTGCGTGATCTGAATGGCAGATGAAGAACTTGGATCTATGCTTAATCGAGTCCGTCTCATAGAAGATGAGGATAATATCCTTCCCTTGCATTCGCTTTGGAAACCCAATGAACCCAAGATAGGAAATCTGTAATTAGTGGGGAAGATACTATGCTGAAAAAAGATAAATATGAATGGGCTTCATGATGCGTTAATGGTTGCTTGGAACCCTAGGAAGGCTTTTACAATTTCTGAAATTGGCAACAAAATTTATCTGTTTCAATTTTCTTAGATTAGGGATCTGAACAAGGCTCTTCACAGAGGACCATGGAACTTTAGTAATTCACTACTAATTCTTAACCAGTTCCAAGCCTCTTTAACAGCGGAGTAGTATAATTTTTCTACAAATCCTTTTTGGGTTCGAATCGTTGACATTCCTGTTGGTATGCAGTCAGAGTAAATTGGACTCACAATTGGGAACTCTTTGGGGAAGGTTTTGGAATTTGATGATGGTTTTCGCAAGGCAATCAAAGTTCGAATTGATTTGGATGTGAATCAGCCCTTAAGAAGATTTAAAAGTTCTCATATCTCAGTTACAGAACGCAAAAAACTTAGAATCAAATACAAACGGCTTCTAGAATTTTGTTTTGTTTGTGGTTGCATGGGACACCTTGATCATAGCTGTGAAATTGCCAATAATATCAAAGACGATGGAGGTAAATTGTTCGTTGATATGGATCATGGTTAAAGGCTGAATTGGAACACTCATAGTGCCCAAATGATCTTGATTTATTAGATGAAACCTTTATTGTAAATACACAGTATATAGCTGGCGATAAGATGGTAGGAAACCAAGAGCATTATGAGACTCTTACCAATGGAGCAAGCCAGGTAGGGGGACAATGATAATATTATTAGAGATCTGGAGGCAATTGCAAGCCAAATGGCAAGGTACAATGATAATGGTGTGGGAGAAATTACGGATGCAATAGCTCAACCCCCTACTTCTATTGTAAGAGAAATGGCTTTGACAGGAAACATGGAACATACTAATGGCTTGCTGGGTTTGATGCAGGACCAATTAGTGCAAATACCTATGGCCTTGGGTCTTGATGGTATTGAATATTTAACAAGGAAAGGAAATGGTGCAAAAGGAGGTAGGGGCAAATGGAAACGAATAGGGCATGAGGGAAGGTCATTGGTGCATATGGAAAACCTTAATCCAAGAAAAAGAAAGGGTAGTACAGTAAATTAGGAGGAACAAAGGGCTACTAAGGTGATATTAAATAATATAGGAGTGGCTATGATTCTTGAGGAGGTAGAGGACACTAGTACGACCTTAAAGGTGGATAATTTTCATCCATCTACAGGTTAAATATCAATTATGAATGGGCAGAGCATTATAGTGCCGAGAGACATTACATCACCAAGTCCACCGATCTCCCATGCTAAATTTGCGAGGTCCAATAAATGTGATTGCCAACAACGACAGTAAGCTTCAATGCATTCTTTTTATGTTTTGAATAGCTTTATTGCGACTCCTATGACATATACTAATATTTAGAGATTATTAGTTTTTAATTGTCACTACTTATATGAAACACATAGTTCTATCTATTAGTATCAAAGGTCCATTTTAACTTTTTTCTACTCAGTCTATAAGGTAAGGTATAGTCTGCATTGTAATTGTTTTCAATTATTAATACAACTATACTTCTTAAATAAAAAAGAAAAAAAAAAAAAGAAGATGTCACTCATGATAAACCACCAAAAAAAAAAAAAAAACATGTCACTAGCTTATATAAAGCAATGCCACACGTAACACTTTGTCGCTGGTGCGAGTACGCGACATTTCCCCTCATTTTATTTTCATTTTTGTCTTTGACTGGTCGTATGAATGAAGGAGAGCGATATCGTTTCGCGTGTTGGGCCAAGTGGGCTCCAATACTGGGCCTCGTCAAGAATAAAAAAATCATGCGGGCAACTGGCAAGCACCACCACTCCCATGATGCAAACACATTTACTATTTATTATTACTATATATATAATTTTTTTTTTCTGTGTTATATGGATATCCAATCTTTAAGCACATCCTTATTTTTATTCTAAAAAAATAAATAAATTTTGAATAAAGTATTGCAGTACACAAAGTAGTTTTAAAGAACAGGGTCAAATTTATATAAAACTATTTATGTTGATGTTGATGTGTGTAGAAAAGGTAGCAGCTAAGAATACTATTACTAATAATCAAATTATCTGATGGTGCTTTTCTAATTCTTCTTTAAAGGAGTTGGAGATCTGCGACTGAGTTAGTAACAAAGGAAAATTGATGGATTACCAATAATAGTTTATTTACTATTTAGTTAAACATCCTGTGGATTTTGTTGCCTGGTGGAATTGGGCTTTGATGTTGGATTCTGGGCTTGTTTAAGCCCATAACTCTTAACCCAAAAAACCTTATATGTCCAGTGTTCCCAATTTGGTTAATGGTTAAGAGCCTATGTTTGCTTTTGTTTTATTATGTCTACATGGTTAGAATGCCTTGGGTTAGTTTGGGTACACGATTTGAAATTAATTCTTTCTCGACATATCAGTTTAGCAAGTTCAAACAATTCTCCTTCAGCATGTTTGTTTGATCCACATAAATTTTGTTAGAAAAAGTTTTACTGAAAAACTAATTAAAAAATATTATATAAAAAATTAATAATTACTATACAAAAAAGTAATAAATTTTATAAATAAAATTTGGTAAAGTGTTTACTTTTTTAGTTTTGGTAAGATATATATATTAAGAAAATTAATAAGAAAATTATCAAATAAATCTTACAAAGGAAAAGTTGAGAAATTTTTTCTTTTTAAAAAGTATAAAAAGAAAAATTTGCAAATTTAGAATTGAATTAAC